TCACTCTGACCATCCATCCCTCACTCTGACCATCCATCCCTCACTCTGCCCATCCATCCCTCACTCTGACCATCCATCCCTCACTCTGCCCATCCATCCCTCACTCTGCCCATCCATCCCTCACTCTGCCCATCTATCCCTCACCTCTATCCATGCAGCCCTCACCTCTGTGGCTTCCCAAACGCACACATCCTTTTATACACTAACCATTGCTTGAACTCAGTCATGTTTGACCATCTACTTGGATTCTTCTCTTCTTTCTCAATCATTTTCCAAGTCTGACTGCCATAAAGAAGTTATTTACCAACAACCATAGAAAGGCTCTGTTTCTGGTAGCTGTTAAATATACAGGTGTTTTTAAACAACAAAGCCGCTCTCAACAGTATGACTTTAATGAGGGCCCAGATGGGAGGCAGTACAAGATCTATGGAGGCATGATCGGGTTAAGAAAATGTTCTACCAGCACCTTCCTGCTTCTAAAGCTACTTTCCTCCGGTTTTCCAGTGTCGGCCCTCCCAGCACCTGTAGACCTTAACAGGAACAGTCAGGAATGACTTCCAAGTCCAGAGGGAAGGACAGAGACAGCACATGGGACAGTTAGTAATTTAAAAAATCTATCAGTAAGAGGGCTGGAGAGATGGCTCAGTGGTCTCTCACAGAGGCCCCAGGTTTGGTTCCTAGGACCCAAGATGGAGGTTAACAACCATCTGTAACTCTACTTCCAGGGGAACTAGACCTCCGCAGGCATTGCATGCCTGTGGTGCGCTTACATACATATAGTCAAAACACACATATAACATAAAAATAAATTAATTGTTAAAAATTAAAAAGTTATTAGTAAGGGAAGTTTGTGTTCATATATTTGCCAGCTCTTTTGATGCTGACAGTCTAGGTAAACATAGTTCCTGAAGTGTGGGACAGGAGGAGAGAAATACCTTACTTGAGTTTCGATTGAAGGGGTGCTCCAGAGTGCTCCAGGCTGAAGTCTGTGAGCCCAGTGTGGCCCTGACTCTGAGGTTGTATGGCACTGTGGCAGTGATGTCATCAGTTACATCACACTCAGGACCTTTGGTGGGTGAACACCAGCTGCTGGGAATCCAGATGTGGCTGGTGTACAAGCTCTCGTACTCCCTGGCCAAGGAGAGGAGGGCACAGTGTCACGTCACATGCTTTGACCTAGGCTCAAAGACAATTATAAATGCTTTCATTCTGCTTTTATGATCAGCAGAATAAGCGTGCCCTCCCTTGCCAGTCCCTCCACTGCATCCCACCAACCATCCACTATCCTTATTCTTTCTCTCACTACTCAAGGGAAATCTTGGCCTTAACCCCAATCTGTCCATTTCTTTCTATGCCCATAGCCACCGCCCTAGTCTCAGGCACTGCCATGCCTGACCTTGAGGTGGACTCCCTACATGAACACCTGACATTCCTCAAACAATTCACACTCAGTAGATGATATTTCTGATAGCCACTTGCAAGACTCTGGCCTTCTCTCACCCTGCTCCTAAGAATGATGTTCCCACCCTGCTGACCTGTTCTTATTCCTCAAAAACGCTGGTCTTTTTGCCAAGGGCCTTTGATGTTTTGCCCCTGCTGTTCACATGGATGGTTCCTTCTGTCCTTCAGATGGGGCACAAGTATCACTTCCTCCAGAGGTCACCACCTAATTGTAATTGCCCAGTAGAACTTCCTGTGATGGTGGAAAGGTTCTGCATCTCTTCCTCTAGATACTAAGATCTCTATATCCAGAAACCTTAAATCTCTAGATCTCTGAGCCTCAAAGAATTTCTACACATACCAGGCTCAGGCTATAGTCACTGTTAATGAAATATGCTGAGCACTGTCTCCCTTAGTCACTTCTCAGCAGCTGCAAACGACTGTACTCATGGGGAAAAGTAGAGCCCTATTGGCCCCAGGGCCAACTGAACTTTAGGATCAAGATTTGGTTGAGTTTTGGATATAAGCTCAGAGTTAGGAAAACTGGGGCCTCTTGTACCCACAAGGGATTTGGGTCTCCAGACTTTTCCCATCCAAGTCAGGGTCAAATTCATGAGACAGCACAAAAGAAGATGTACCAAAATGTATTTATAGATATTTATGTTCCCATAGCATTGTCAAATCCACAGGACACTTTCCCTGGCTTCTTTGGTCCTCCCAGTGCCTATTCACACTGAGGGGTAGACCACAGAAAGCATCTATCCTTGAGGCCAAAGCCTCTGGATCAGAGGAAGAAGGGCTGTGCCTCTAGGAACCAGCTGTCCTCTAATTGAGAAAACAGCTATTAAACAAAACCAAACAAAACTCACCCCTGGTACTCCACAGAATAGAATACCGTCTCTCCAGGCATGATCACTGGGCTCCACGTCAACAGGTGCTTCATGTTGGCTGATTGTATAGAGAGGTTCTGTGGGGCAGGCAGAACAACCACTCCATCTGGGATGAAGGTAAACAGAGAAGCTGACTCTGGCTAACAGTGACGAGATGGCATAGCTTCAAATTAGTCTAACGAAAAGCCTCAGAAATTCATGAACCAGAGGAAATCAGGTTTCATCATACTTGTGCTAATGCTAAATGTTTGCTCTCCTTGTTTTCATTCTGCCTTTGTGACAACATGGCACAGTAGTAGTGATGATGGCTCAGCTTTTGTGAGCACTGAACATATTTTGTCTAGGCCACGTGCTAGATTGTTACAGGATGATTCCATTTAATCTTCATGATTCTACTGAGTATAAAAAGATCGTTATTTTTTCTACTATACAAATGAGAAAATGAGGCATATCATTTATTCATGAATGCGTTCATTTATTTTAAATTTTATTTTTTATTATTGTGTGTACAACATGATGTGTGTGTATGAGTGCATGTGCACACAACACATGTACTTGTGGAGGCCTGAGGGCAACTTTTTCAGAAGTCTGTTCTCTTCTTCAGACAGTGGGATCCCAGATCAAACTCAGGTCACAGTTTTAATCCCAGCAGTCAAGAGATGGAGGCCAGCCTGGTCTACATAGTGAGTTCCAGGTCATCTGGGGCTACAGGGAGAACATGTCTCAAAAAAGAAGCACATAAAAATTGTATCTATTATATCTATAGAGAACCACGTGTTTTGACACTTGCATGCACTGTTATTTCAAGTCATTGTAAGCATATCTATCTCTTCAAATATTTATCATTTATTTTTAGTTAAAAACATTTTAAAAATCCTATCTTCTGGGTTTTTTTAAAATCCACATTTTTGTTCTCTGTAATTAGTCTACTGTGCAACAGGACACCAGAATAATCTGTCCTCCATAACTGTAATTTAGTACATGTTGACCAATCTTGGCCCTGTCTTTCCTCTCTACCCGTTACTCTCTCCAACCTCTGGTAAGCTCATGCCATTCTGAACTTAAATGAGTCAACTCTTTGATATTCCACATATGAGTGAAGTCATGTGGTGTCCGTCTTTCTGTGCCTGGAGTATCTCACTTAACAGTGTCCTCCAGACCGTCTGTGGTACTGAGTCCTTTCACGGCTGATTCCACTGTGTACATTTCTTTTGCCATTCATCAGTTGATGACATTTAGGTTATTCCTCTTCTTGGTTACGATAAACAGTGTTGCAGATGTCTCTGCCACATACTGATTAAATTTCTTTTAGCTATATTACATACCCAGTAGTGGGAGAGCCAGGTCATATAGTGGTTGCACTTTAAATTCTTTGGGAAAACTCCACACTGTTCTCCATATAATAACACATTCTCAGTAATAGGGTGGATCAGCACTTGGCTTGTTATTTTTAACTCTTTAATGAAAACCGCTTTTATTGTGATTCTGGGGATCAAACCCCAGGGGCTAACACATGCTAGACACATCTATTGAGCTATATCCCTAGCCTAATAACAGTCATTTCTGCTGGGGTGAGGTCATAGCTCCTTGTGGTTTATTTTGCATCCCTGGGATGATTAGTGATGCTGAACATTGTTTCACATACTTTTTAAAAACTATATTTTTATTATTTTTATTTTATGTGCACGAGTATATTGCCTACGTGTATGTAAGTGCACCCGTGTCATGCAATGCTTGCGGAGGTCAGAAGAGGGCGTCAGAATCCCCTATAACTGGAGTTACGGATAGTTGTTAGCTGCCATATGGGTGTTGGGAACCAAACCCAGGTCCTCTGGAAGAGCAGCCAATGCTCGTAACCACTGAGCCATCTCTCCAAAAACCTGTTTCACATAACTGTAAGCCATTTGTATTGTGTTATTTTGAGAAATGTCTATTAATTCTGTTTTCTATTTTAAATCTATTTGTTGACTTGCTGTTGAGGTCCTTATATATTCTGGGTATTAACTTTGATGACAGACTGACCTGGATTCTGACCTCAAATCAGCCTAGACTAAGTCACCTTATGCAGCCTACATAAACCTGAGCCTTCCACCTCTTCATGGCAAACTCACATAGGCTCTTGCCAGTTTCTTACTATGTCTCTCTTCTGCTAGTGTCATCCTTGGACACCAAAACACATTACTTCATGACCCCCAAGAAGGCCACATGGAGCATCAACTATTAAATGAAAAGTGCTGACTCAATTCTGCTATGGTACTTCTGCCCCAGAAGACTGCAAGTCCATGAGTCCATCTGGGACAAAAGCATCTGTTCTCATGGATGAGTATAGTACACCCAGAGCATATGCACGGTGGCACTGAAGTTTGCACGGAATGAAAAAGGTCAGGGAAGTCTCATATGTAACCCCAGAGTACACTCTGGACCCTCTGCCACAATTCTTTCACATGTTCTACTGTTGATACCCAACACCTGGCTCCTTTGCTGCTACAGTCCCAATGATAACATCAACAGCATGGCAGATTGAGGGGGTGGCTGGGGACTTCACCTAGGAGTTTTGTTTCCACAACTAGATTGGCACCTATTGCTTATTAAAAGGCATAAAGCCCTTTGAACAAGATAAGTGGGGGTATCCCTGAGAACACCATGGCTGGCTGGTTCTTTGCCTCTTTTCTAATGTAGGGCACCGGTGATATACCTCCACCTCACTTTCCAAATATGCATTCTGCCCTGTGAAGAAGCTCCAGGGACACTCCAGGCAGTAGGCTTCCTGGCCTTCCAGTTCTAACTTTTTTTTCATTTTTGTTTTCTTTTTTCAATTTATAATTTGTATTATTAGCTTATGTTCACTATACAAAACAACAAGCTTCACAAAGTCCTCAAACGTGTAGAGCGCATGCCTGGATCATCCCCTCTCACTACCCTCTCCTGTCTCCCTCCCCTCTCCCAGTGGTCCACTTCAACCAAACAGCCATCCTTCTACCATTAAGTCTTATTCTTTAAAAACAAATCTTAAAAAAACAAGCCTAGATTCTGCACAGGAGAGAAAATACATAACATTTGTCTGATTCTCACTTAGACTGCTCAACATAACAGTTTCAAGTCCCATTTTTCTACAAATGGCATTTCATTCTTTTCTTTACTCCTCTTTCTTCCTTTCTTTTCTTTTCTTTTCTTTTCTTTTGAGACAGGGTCTCTCTCTGAAGCCAAGGCTGACCTGGAACTCATTATATAGCATGGCTTAGTCTCAAATTCATAACAACCTCCCCCGCTTCAGCATCCTAAGCATTGGGAATAGAGGTATGTCACACCTGCCCAGCCCCAACTCTGAAATTATCAAAGAGATGGAAAGAAATGATCTAACTTTTATTTTATTGTTTTTAAGACACAGTCTAATATAGCCCAGGTAGGCCCCAAGTGGTCTGAGTGACGCCTAGCACGAGCTTGAAGACTTGATCCTCTAGCTTCCGTTACTGGAATACCTGGGATTACAAGCCTGTGTACCTCTACCACATCATTTTAGGTAGTGCTGGGGGCTGAACTCAGGGCCTCTGGTATGTCAAGCCAGTCCTCTATCCACTAAGCTACATTCCCAGCAAAGAAACGGAAAAGAAAAGAGACAAATGGGGTTGGGAGCAGTACAGGAGAGTAAGACACGGTCTCTGACATCCTTCTTCTGGTAAAGCAAGAAAGAAAACCTTTATTTTAGGAACATAAAGCTATAATTTATATAATTAAATCAAATAATTCAACCATATATTATAATTTATTCATTAGTCAATATAATTAATTACATAATTTTAAAGCTCTCATCAGATGGGCTGAGGGTATAGTGACAGAATGATTACACAAGGCCTTGGATTCCAATCCCCAGTAATACCACTCCCTGAAAAAGCTCACTGAAAATTAACACCAACTTTCCACTATCTCTTTCACTACACAGAAGAAAAAAGAATGCTCTAGTATTACCCAGTATTGAATGGCAAAATCAGACAAATTCCCAATTTTTTTGCAGTACTGAGCTAT